TGTTAAAATAACAAAATATCTTAATTATTTTTAGTTACATTAGATGTGTTATTTTTTTAAAGTAGGGATCCATTTTTATACATAAGTTTTATACAGTATATTTATATAAAATTTTAATTATTTATATTTTTTAATTTAATAATTGTTATTTATTTAATTTTTATTATATTTATTAAAAATAATTATTTTTTATTCTTTTAAATAAAAAGTGAATTTATTTATCCAAAAATATTTGTGAATACCATAAAGTAGCATAGGAGTTTCTACAAGAGAAAGGAGATTGAAAAATACACATGTAGCTGGTACACATACCACTATTACACAAAAAGTTAACCTTTCACTATTGTCCCAAGCCCCCATTGAATTGCAATAGCCATGGGAAGAGGTGAAGACCTTAGGTGGACAAACTCCAGCATTCTAGCTCTAACCACAAACTGAATCTCATGAAGATTGTACTCTCACTTCTAAAGAGCTGTAGATAAACCCTTCTGTTTCTTTTCATCCAAATGTTGTAGATTGTGGCATTCCATGAGAGTTTGATCAAAATACTAAGTATGGATTTTCTTCTACTCCTTTTCCCCATCCAATGCAATAAATCCTACCAAGAATCCACAAAAAGAATATTGATCATGGTACTAATTTGTGTCCATATTCTATTACCATAACTACACTTAAAGAATAAGTGCTCATATGTTTCTAAACTATTGTTGCATAAGATACAAGTATTTGAGATAATAGGGGTCCATTGCTTCTATCTAGTTTTCGTAGTCAATTTGTTAAGTATGGCTAGCCAACCTATGAAGCTGTGTTTAGGGATGGCATGAGGAAACCAATTAAGTTTATGTTGTGCCCTCGTAGGCTATTTGTTTCTCAACCAATGCCAAATTTGATGAGTTTTAAAAGATCCAAAAGGGGAGATCATCCAAATAATTGAATCATTTTCACTTTTCCTATGATAAATATAAAAAAGAGGTACTTGGATTTCTAATAGCTAAGGAGATCTAGCAAGAGGTCAATTCCAAAATCTACCACTTATAACATTAGCCAGTTTGGCTTGGGAGGGTATCCCTGCATTATGAACAATAGAATTCCCATAAACTTCTAGTAGTGGGCCCAAGGGATGCCAGTTATCATCTAGAGATAAGTGTTCTATTCATCCCCTGGTATGTGCTAGATAAGCCTTCTAACTAATTGTCTTAGCTTTAAAATTTTCCTCCACCCCCAAGAAGCATAAGGGATGTTAATGGACCAAAAGCTTCTCCCATTGAGTAAGTTTTTCTAGACCCAAGCAACCCAAATAGACCTTGCCTTAAAGAATAACAGTCATATAAACTTTAAAATACATGCTTGATTCCACTAAGCTAAGTTTTGGAGGCTTAGGCTGCCTTCCTATTTTGGAGTACAGACTTGTGGCTAGTTCACCTTAACCCCTCTAACACTTAGAGTTTCATTTAAAAAATCATGAAATTTTCAATTATTAAAAATGAAAAAATAAATAATCATAATTATATATAAATATTATATGCAAAACTTGTATATAAGTAAATTTGTATCATTTTTATGTTCATTGGATGTGTTATTTATCTTAGGCTACAAAACTTGTCACGGATCCACTAAAAAAATTATGAAGGGGGTCTAAGAGAAAAACATTCAAGGTGGGAGCGAACAGGGCCGGCTGAGAAAAATTTGGGGCCAAAATCCAGTTAAAAAAAGTTCAGTGAGCAAAATGTGGGGTTTGTCCAAGTTAATATACCAAACTGCAATTTTGATAGATCAACGAACTTTCAACATGAAGACCTACCCCAAATCTGTTGAACAATCTTTCAACAAATTCCAATCCAGTGTTGAAAATCTCTACTTAGGGCATTTTCTTTCTTTGTTTCTTTTGTAATCCAGTTTTATGCACTTACCACACGTTTCCTCATCTTAAACCCAGCAATGCAATCTTTCCAAAGCAGCGCAGAATCCCCTTTTCCCATTTTGGGTACCCAGATCATCAATTCATCTTCTTCACCTTCTTCCTTGAGAGGTCTGTACGGGTGGCTCTTTGACTGCCATGGGGTTTGGAACAACTTGGTTCTTCTCGTCTCCTCACTTCTCTTTGTGCTCTACCTGGTGTTTCAAGGCAAGAAGAGCTTACAGAAGCTCTCCCATGCCAGGTCTTCCATCATGATCGCCTATTACGTTTGCCTTTGGGTCATTAGCTTGCTCAATCTTGCTTGGTGTTCTCTTCAGGTTTGTGGGGGTCTAAATTTTGTTTCCTTGGTGTTTCCAATTTTTGAATTTCTTGGATCAATTTATAGTTTTGTGCGTGGTGCAAAAATTTTTGCTTGTTAGTTTGTTATTGCAGTCTCTGTGGTCTTTGATTTCTTCTTAATTGTCAAATAGACTTTCTTAGTTGTTTCTAGTAGGTATAGAAATATCTTAGAAATAAATCATTGATTTTTGCTAAATTGGAATGAAATCTGGCTGTCTCCGGTTCACTAGCCTGCCTAAACTTGCTGGGTCTGTTTTAAAGCCAGCTAGCATTTGATTCATTTTGTTAATAATAGGTCTATTACTTAGTCAATCTTTTCGATTAGCGAGGTACTTTTTTGTTTATGAGATGGATTTAAGATAAGAAGCTCCTGAATTCTGGATTCAGAATATGTAATTGTTAAGTATGATAGAAGCATGCTTAATGTTTGATTAGAATATGGAAATAAGGTTTGTTCTATGCTTCTTTTCTGCACTTAACATTTTCTCTATTCCCTTCCTGGATGGTTAGGATCATGACATCATGTTGAATATTTTCTTTATTACATAGGCATGGGGGTGTGACCCTACAAAGGAAATGGCATTTAATATCTTATCACTGTTTACAACATCTGGGATGCTGTTTCTTGAAGTAAGTTTGGTGGCCTTTTTGCTTCAAGGAAACCATGCCAGTGGCTTAGAAGCTTTGACACGAACATTTGTGATCTCAGGTCTCATCGTTGGTCTGGATTTATTCTTGAAGGTATTTTTCTACTTTGCTCAATATACATGATTATTGAAATCAGATTGTAGTGGGAGTCTCCCCTCTTTGCAAACTATATGTTAATTGTCATACTCTGCATTGTCTTAGCCTGATTTTAGCTGACTGATCTAAAATCTTCTCCAAGCAATCTAGTGATATGTAGCATTTTTGGCCTATACACATCAGGAGCTGTTTGTCATATATAAAGGCATACCACTGGAAGTATTTTTATTTGTATCATGTTGACTATTGATGTTTCTGTTTGCTCTGTTTTATTGTTTACTTATCTTTCAATTCTTTTTGATAGTGCATCAATGTAGTATGGAATTATGAAATTAATTTTAATTGGACCTGTTTCCATTCCAGGGTCTATACCTATTTGGATTTGGGATTCCTTTGTTTGTTGACAATAGTGAACAACACCATACTAAGTGGGGCTTGTGGGTTGGTCACAGACTAGTGCTTACTGCTGTTTATTGCATCATACTGTTCATGTACCACTCAAGGTGGAGAGAAAGGCTACCTGGTATGTTCATCTAATTTAGTTATGTATTTGTTGGAATGTTATTTAACGTATTGTACCACATTCATTACCTTGTATCTTCTTTCCTTTTGTGTAGCAAGACCTGCATTCTACAGATATGTCGTTATCATCTTCATCTTGAATGCACTGACACTGTTTGCTTGTGGGCTAAGTACAAGTGGAGCTAGTTTTGGGTTTTGGTAATTCATTTTAATTACTTCTAATTGAAGAATTCCATTTGCAAATACTATTTTATCAATTTTCAGTTTCCAAGGCATTCTTTAAAAGGATAAAAAATCTTTACAGGTTATATGGTTTTACAATTGTCTGCTATCACGCCTTCTACCTTCCTCTTCTATATGTGACGTTTCTGGCTGACTTTTTCCAGGTGATCTAGTTATTCATCAATTGCAAATTTGCAACTATATATATATATATATATATATATATTTTTTTTTTTTTCCAATTTCCGTTTTTCTATCATACTTTCAGCGCAGTTTGGACTCATTTCTATGAAACTGACATGAAAGTTTTAATATCTGCAGGAGGAAGATTTGCATTTAGAGAATGTTTACTACTCAGAGATGAAAGATGCTGGCTTCTTTGATGCTGATTGGGAATGATCACAACTATTTTGAATAGCTAGATTTCCATGTTAGTGCTCTTCGTGTGCTGCAATGTAAATAGGTTCCTGCATTTGCTAAATGTATGTATGTGCTGAATCTGCTTTTGCAACAAGGCTATGGTGAGTGTTGTATAAATTGCCTATCTAGATTGAAATGTGAGATTAATTAACTGCACTTATTATTTTTTCTTTTTGTGAGAATAAATGGCTATTATATTTGATAATGAGGCAAAACAATTACAATGTAATCTTATATCTCCAAAAGAG